ACGAGTACTCGTATATCCGTCGCAGGCTCTTTTCTCCTTAAGACTGACTCGGTAGCTGAAGTTGTTAGAGCAACTGGGCGTTTATCAGGAAATATGGGTTCGATTCCTAGCGGAGGCAGAAAAATCATTGAAGAGTCAAAACATAATTACATCAAACAATAACAATTACATCATGCTTATTAGCTCTGAGAATGCAGCGGGAGTTGACAATTGGGAAACGGGATACGGTTTTCCACGTAATTGCTAAACTTCCGACTGCAAATTGGTGATGAAATGTAAAAAATATTTTCATATGCTGAAATTTTCTACTATAAAAGTTCTAAATAAAAATAATTGTAGAAGCAACTTTCCAAAGTTATGGGTAAACTGTTGAGAAAGATTAAATAAAAGTAAACTACAGTATTTCAATTATTCAAAAATGTTACCTGCTTGCTTCAGTGATGAGGGCTGTGGCTATTCTGATACGATTGCGTAGAAAGATGATCAACAATAACACAACACCCAAAACAATACATGATGCAATAAAGAATATGAGCCACGAAATGTTTACAGCTTTGTTGGCAGGGACATCGACACTCTCTTCATCATTTGATGTCTCACGATATTTTGTCCACGTTATGTAGCAACCTTAAAAGTATAAAAATGTTCTCTAATGAAAATATTATACATACATAATCATATCATTTTTTTATAAATTCGTAATGTTTTAGTGACCATTTGTAAGTCTCAGGAAAATTCCAATAAAAACAATTACTCACAGAATCCTAAAAGGGCAAGAACTCCTAACAAAGACACCCATACAATAATCCAAGCAAACCAGCGCATTATGACAATGTAAATCATACAGAGCACCATAGCGATCACTAATCCACCGAGCAAGAGTGGCCAATTTTTTTCCATATTACTAACAATCGTTTCTCCAACCTGAAAAAATATAGAAGAACCTAAGGATCATATATTATGATTTGAAAATAATTCAACAAACCAGTGTAATCACCGTCATACTTGCTATATGCATTATACTCTCACAGCACCACCACATCATGATAATGATACAAATAATAATTTACGCACATAATTGCATGCAAATTACTTTACATACTCGTATCTATTTTATAGAAAAAGAACTTATGGTGCACGTGTCAGGTTCGTTGAACTCCGTGAACTTTAGAAAAGTACCGTTCGATAGTAGTGGCTGCATTGATATCCAACAGAGCATCGTGTATCCCGATTTGCAACACCAAAAAAATAAGACCCTATCGAAACACATTCCTTCAAGAAGCAGAATGTTCGTCATATCAGCCCACTGAATTATTCCTAAGTAATAATAACTAATTTGCTAGGTTGGTTTAAGGAAATTACCCATTGTTCCTCCAAATGTTTTTATTTAAGGTAACCGTCATGGGGAGCACATCTGAAGGGAAGAAATCTACGAATGATAATTCGTGTACAATCATTTACCTATCTAAGTAAGCCATCCTTGATTATATCTGCTCAAAATGAAGTACAAGTGTGAACTGCGAACCCAGAAATATTCAATTAACTCATTTTTTAATAAATGAACATATTAGTGGCAAATCGCTGTCAGCGTGTGTCGTAATATCAGTAGTGGCTTGTAGGACCGTGTCATTGGGCCATGGCACCACCAACAAAAAGGAAGGGAAATAAATTTTTCATGATACTCAGGAAAGAATGTGCAGACAACTGTCAGTGGATTTCTAAAGCACAAAACGTCAGTTTACGGTGAAGATAAGTAAAAATTAATTCGAGCATTTCTAAAAATTTTGTTAGTTACCATAAGGCTTGGTTCGTGCTCAACGTTCGTTGTTACGCCGTGGTTATAACGTACATCAAAAATGAATTTTAGTAGATTTAATAGATTAAATGAATATTACACATAAAACATTTGATACCATTTAAGTACTCTAGTGTACATCAAGGGATGGAGATTTTCACCAAAAACGGTAAGAAATAACACTACACACAGTTCTTTTGACAAACGCCGTGCCGGTGACTGCTGTGACGCGACAGCCGGTTTGAATATACTGCCTGGATATAACATTTAAACTCAATTTTCTTCTTCTTTTTGACAGTTTCTTAACCGGTACTTCGGTCTTCCGGCACCTAATTTTCTTCTCGTCTTTTTTGTTCTTCCAGGAATCAGGAGGCAATTTCCCTTCTCGATTATCTTTCTGATCTGGTCGTTCCACTCTGGTCTTGGTCTTCCTCGTTTTCTCCTTGCACTTGGTTGCCATTCTAATGATCTTTTGGGGAGTCTTTTTTGTGCCTTCGCTGTACATGTCCAAACAAACTGAGTTGTTTCTTTTTCATTTCCTCTATAATATCACGTTGCAGATTCATTGTTTCCTTAACCGTTTCTAATTCTTTCCCTTCTAGGTATTGCTGTAGCTCTTCTGAGGAAATTCATTTCCAGGGCTCTCGATTTTCTTTTCTGTTGTTGTGGAAGTAGCCATATTTATGCTCCACACTATGTAACACTTTCAATGAACCATACATTTATATAATCTAATTTTCGTTTTGATGTCTCAATTTTTTGCCTTTTTTTCGGAAAACTGGATCTGCCATTTTTCATGAAAGTCAACGTAGAATCTGGTGTATCTTTTTGTGACGGGAGCTTCTGGACACCTGTATATTCTCTGCATCACAATGAGTCACCGGCTTTGAGCACAGAACGGTAGGGATTCTGGCTGCAAGGCGCGGCGCGGCGTCTGAGGGAAATACCAATTTTCTGTCTTCATCTGAAACTAGCTGGAACTTAATTTTATGAATTACGATTGTTATTGAAAGTATACAAGTTCAGTCAATTCTTGACGGTATTGATAGCATTATTCATGATGTTTGGTGAATTTATTTTAATCGGATGTTAGGTTTGTTGATTCAAAATGTACATTTGATATGTTCTTGGTGTAAAGTTGGCCGTTCTGGAAAAAAAATCCCTATGTTGCATACGGTGTGTGAAATGATCTTCCCGGCAAACCTACAGTTATTCTGCGAGCGTCGTAGTGAATAGGAGTGTTTGTGGAAGACATTTATTCATTGCAACATATCAGGGTAGTGAAATTTTCAACAGTAAAATATTTCATTTCGTTATGATCACCACTAGTAGCAGTAATAATAACCAAGGTTATGAAATGAATTGGTGTGAGATGTGTACAAACAATAGTGTTTGTTGCAATGTGCGGGGTGCTATCACGGTATTTTAAAAACACGATTTTCTCAAACACGGCTCGAATTTTGTTCTTTGAATTTTGTTTCGAATACAGCAAAGAAAGCTTTTACAAACGGCGTCGGTCCTATTTTCGGTGAACTCTACATATTTGAAATCTACAAAATTTTGTAATTACAAAACTACAATATTGGTAATTTTTTCTTAACGGAAACTGTTTTTAATGATCAAAATGGTATCTTTAAATAATGTTTCAATTTTTGAAAACGTGAGTACTTTTCATAAATTTGAAGCTTAATAAAGAATATGTGTGAATGATATTCGAATCTGATATACACCATGATTCAAGAAATTTCTTTCTAACTGGAATCTATTTAAGCATGATAAATAAAATATGTCTGGTAACAACAATTATTGATACCAGACATCTTTTATTTATCATACTAAAATATTATAAGGTATCTACCTCACCAGATATCTAGTTAATGGAATCTATTTCTCAATATTAGATCTTTAAATTATTTTTTGAACATTTTTTTTTCAAAATATCGGTACTTTTTGAAATGATTGGGAATTTTTTCTGAAAGGTCAATATGAACAAAGAACTGTTCAATTGCCGTCAGTACCAAGGAACAAGTTTTTAGACTTTCTTGGTAATAGAGCTGAAAATTATTTTACAAAGACAAATTTAACATTTGGCATGAGTGGAAAATGCTTGTGTGTTAAATCGTACTGTTAATTGTTAGTACATAATTTGTTAGTGTAGTCAAAAGACGATGCTCTAGAGATTTCAGCTATTGTGAAAGACACTTTTTTCTATAATATGTAAGTAATTACCTTTTTCAGTTTGGCTCGTGTTTCATCAGCTGCGTCTCGTACCTGTTCTAGACTAGTACCTGTGTAGTTCTTAAATTCTTCTTCGAGTAGATTGTCAAAGGTTTTATTTATATCTACATAGATACAGCGTCGAGCAACTAAAAATTATGAAAAATTGTGTTAAAATTACAATTTATTTTATTAAAAGTATTTACTTTGAAAGTTATGTTATTAAAAGGGAAAACTCACCACTTTTGGTAGGAAGGTACCAAGCCGCACAATCATAGTTATTGAGTGCTGCTCCTATGTTATCAAGATCGGGTATGTTACCTCTACATATTGCCCCGTCACGAGCTTGTTCAGGTTGATTAAGATGTATATAATATGCTCCAATATATAGTTCTTCTGGACATTTCTTTACACATACCTAAATTTGAAAATGAAAAGGTTAAAAAGAAAACAATTCTAAATACGAAACGTATGTACTAAAATATAAAATTAATTGTATTACAAAATAACACAGTTTTCCTCGACTTTTTGATAAGGAATAAGTAAAATTCTAATAATCATATTGAAATTGATACATCACTGCTATTTTAGCCATTTCTCGCAAATCTCTGCACCAAACTGCTTGTAACACAGCACAACAGGACACACTCTCAATTTGTAGAAGTAATAATTAATAACAGAGTTTAGCCGACACTTCTTTCGGCCGAGTGAACGGTTGTTTCAGGGGGAAATCTACTTGCCTCCCACAAGATGCTATATCCTACTCCACGGTTCTCGTGGTTGGTAAAGGTCAATGCATACTGTTGATTAGTTCATATTTTACGTGGAATTATGTATCTCGAAACGTGTTGCTTTTGGACAGTAGTGTTAAGCATTATAATTATTTAGGGGAATATTTAATGTTGAAAAATGCAATACAGTTTTGTTGTATTGTGTATTTTTTGTGGTAATTTCTGTACCAAGAAAATCTAGATATGATGGATTATTTATATTTTCTACGTGTCGTATTTTTATACGTTGCTATTGCACCTGTCCGGGATTTCAAAAAGTCGTTTTTTTATTTTCGAAAAACGGTAAGAAATTAATGTTTATATATTTGTAAAGTAAATTAATAGCGCAATATTTTGTATATAAAGAAAATACTTTTTGTCAATTGGCTTTTCCAGCTTATCATTAAGCAAGGAAAGCCACCAATTTTTAGAAAAATCATTGGATCAAAAAAATTGGGGGGGGGTATTTGGAAAGCAATTACATAGCCCAAAATTATGAGTATAGAGAAAATGTTTTTGAAAAAGGTTTGGCAGCTTATCGGAGGTTGCACGGTGGATGGGAAAGCCCGCTAGCCCACAACACATGGGTAAACGACTAGGCCTGAGTGGAGGTCTATCCTTGATCTCTTCAACGAAATTGTCCATTGGGAGTTTTGGTACCTCGCGTAAGATAGAAACGTTTTGCACTAACGGTCGTGTGACGGACCTTCAATTTATAACGTATTATCTGACGCCCAAGGTACGACTTAATCAGTTCATAAATAGTACATCTGTAAGGAGTTTCCCCATTTCAACTTACGCTTTCACAATAAGGTTTGCAGCATTCCATACTAATAGCAATCGCATACACACAATAATTTTTTGTATGTAAATATTTGCGGCAATCGCTACATTTGTAATATCGTAATGTTTAGATCGACATCGAGATAAATAATAGTATTGCATCTAATAGTAATATTTATCATAGGGTGATTACAATATCGGAAACAGGTGTATTTTTGCAGAAATGAAAATTACTATTTTTTGAAAGGCTGTAGCTCGTTTGTAAATTGATTTCGGAAAAAATGTTTCATATAAAACTGGAGGAAATTTTGTCCTCTTTATACCTGAACTTCATCATTTTTCTGACCGACTTAAGGTTGCAAACGTATAGAGAAAAGCCCAAAAAAGTCAGAATCATATCGTTTATTTGGGTCTCTCGGAGTTAGTACAGGGTCTAGAAGGTCAAAAACTGGGGGAGGGGGCAACTAGTGCCTGGGTACAAACCCAAAGAAAAGAATGAATTTTTTCCACGTCAAATATGCTCCAAGACTATTTTTAAAGAAAAAGAGAATTGATTGCTGACAACGAGAAGTGCTCCAGGTGCAGACACAATCTGTCTGGGTTAATCTCTGTCTGCAATGCATATATGTTGCGACTAGTGTTTGTGAGCTCTGAGAAAATTACCCCTATGAGTGGACAGTATCTATGACGTTTTCTACATCTTTAAACCCAATTCGCAAAAAGTATTGGTTGTGTCAGACGCGCGAAGACAATGTTAGATAGATAGATAGATTTATTAAAGTTCGTTTTGACCTAATGCTCGGTGGCAAACATGATAACGATTAGAATTAGAATTAGAATTACAAAACATTTTCAACATTTACAATTAAGTTTACTATTAGAATTTGGGGTCGATATCATAGTTCCAATTTATTTCTAGCTAACTCTAAATTCACTTCTAGTTTACATCACACTACACACTACACACTACACACTACACACTACACACTATACACTATACACTACACACTACACACTACACTACACACTATACTACACACTACACTACACTTCACTCCCCTTCACTACACTACACTCCCTTCCCCTCCACTACACTACACTTCACTTCACTTCAATGTTATAGTTATTGTTTGCAGGTCATTGAGATCCCAGTTTGTACGGTGTCTGACTGCTCTAAACAAATAAAAACCTAGTCCAGAAAAGGCATTTAGTAGGGCAAGCAATATATATTTACAAAATTTGTTTACTAAATGATTAATAAAAGAATTTTCAAATTTTGTAAATATATTTTGTTTCTATATTAAAAATTAAAAGCGTATTTTTATTGTTACGTATTTTATTCTTTTTAAAAAATTTCATTACAAATTCTTACCATTTTATTACATATTTATGCACTTATTTTTGCCGTATTATTCTTCATATTTCTTCGGACTCTAGTTATGCAATATCACAATTGCTAAAACTCAACTGAATGTTGTTTCTAACGACCTTATAACGTCGTAGTCACGTGATCATGAATTTAAGAATGTCACAAGTTATGCCTGGTGGTAAAACTCCCTAATGCATGTCTAGCGTAGTGAAGTTAGCCGCCCCAACTATCAAAAGGTAGCGTGTATTCATGTAATGAAATAATATAAAATAATATTTGAAAAAAATTCCTTACCATAGGAGTATTACAGCTTCCCAATGAGCATTGTGTAATGTCAAAGTAAAAGAGATACTTTTTATCTATCACTTCTTCATCATATCCACAACGCATTCCGTCTGAATCCGTTGGAGCAATAATTTTCACGGGATCTCCCTGGGAAAATGCTATTACTCCTACCACTATCCACGCTACCACGAAGCAAAAAAATAGGAGAAAGCAAATTATATCTGTGCAGGACCTCTTGGCTCTGGGACCGAAGAAGTTAGCATCATATTGCAAAGGTTTTCCTGAAACAGATAAAAAATTATATGACTATAATGGGTGAATAATAGGAGTACAGTGTACTTTTATTTTGTGTGAAGGTTTTCTTTGAAACTGGCTTGATTTCTCCGAATAAATAAACAACTTAAACTAAGCAGGTTTTTGTACGTACTGTATGATTTTGAGAACATAATTAGATTATTGTTGCATTATGTATTTTCGCACTTTTACATAATTATTATATAATAACACCAATTCGTACCTAAGTACAAACGCATCCTCAGTGTATATCCTATCCGTTTATTTAATTTAATTTTTATTTTATTTTTATTTTAAACTTATCGGTTCCCTTGATGGCTAAACCTCTCGCAGAAGTGGGAATTAGAGTTGGTACACCCAAAGTTTCATAAGATAGTATGTTTACATAAGAGAACGTTGAAGGGGGAATATCGTTAAATAACAATATATAATGTATTTTAACCTGGTGTTCTGTATTAACTAAACTATCAACAATTTTTCCACATTGATTTTAAGTTTCTTCCAAACGCGCCTGTCTTTTGCTGCTTGGGACCACTTTACACCCACTTCTTTCTTGAACACATCGGGTCATCTTTTCTGTGGTCGTCCTTGTTTGAACCAGTCGCATCTCGGATCCAGGACGTAGCACTGTGTGATCACCTGGTTGGATATTGACAAGCAACATGACCATCCCAGCGCCATTTGAGTTCACTGACACTATCTGCAATGTCTTGTATTTTCTCCTTTCTAATTTCTTCCCATCTAATTTTATATTGGTGTTATATGAAGAATTTTTTTCTCCATATGTCTGTGACATCTTATTAGCGTGGACTCTTGTGCTTTAGTGAGAGGTTACACTTAAGATCAATATGTTAATAGTAGTGTGGTGCAGAAATCTATAGCAGATTTTTTTTATTGTCATGCTGACTTTTCTGTCGAATAGTATAAAGGATATACCCCAAAACGTTTTCTAACCTAAATATATTCTTTTTTATTTTCGTTTCTTTCCTCAAAAAAAAAATTGTCTCAAATATAGATATTCTTGAACGTATTAAATTTTTTGAGTGGTTACAAGGCATTCGTTTGTCGTTCGTTATAATGTTTGATTTTTTAAATTTGATTTCAAGGCCAACTTTAGAACTTTTATCACTCAGCTTTCTTAACATCTCGCATATCTCATGGGCAGAAGGGGCAAATATAAACTACATCGTCTGCAAATCGCAAACTTATCAATCTCTGTCCGTCAATTTATATTCCTGCTTTTTACTCCATGTTAGCTGTCTGAATACATCTTCTAATAGGCAACCACAGGCCTGTTTAGGCCTAAGAAGGTTACACGTTTGGAACTGGTGTACCTCTTTGAAGCAGTTTTTCCAGTACCAAACAGGTCGAACAATTTCAATAGTCATCCTTATAAAACAATAATTGCTTTCTTTAACGCTATTAAAAAAGGGAAGTAGTTAAGTGGAAGAAACCAACTTTTATTCATAAAATTAATTTTCCCACATAATATTAATGTGATAAAAACGTTGGGGACCAGTAAGATAGTTTAAGTAATATTATACACAGCCAAATAATTCGTAACTAATATGATTCATAAATAATTCTGGACGACTAGCGGAGCGTGCCGGGCCGTCAGGAGCGAAGAAGGGAGAGCGGCGAAACGTGTACGCGGCGTTGAAGCGTGAAGAAGTTTCCATATGCCAGGGTTTCAATTGAATATCGTGTCGTTTCGATTGAATATCGTGTCGTTTCGATTGAATATCGTGTCGTTTCGATTGAATATCGTGTCGATTTGTTCGAGACCGCCTTGAAATTGACGCTTACTTACTCAGTATTCGGACATGGAAGTTCAACTCTTTTCAACATCCGCCAGGAAACGATCGGAAATTACTATACTTCACAATATCATCCGAAAGAATCATTCGTCACAGGATCATTTCTGATTGATTGATTATTTCGTGTTTCGGCGTGCGTCAACTGCTACGGTCATTAGTTCTGTAAGTAGAGTGCATGCTTTCCTCAGGAGGAGGCGGTGATCTTTGCCTGTTGGATAACATCCTTGAAGTCAACTTTCAACTTGCGACTTGCGAGCTTTTACTTATCCCCCAAAAAGGTATCTCCCACCAGTGTGGCACGTTCCTCTCTGAGACAAGGTTCAACCCGTGGTTGTGGATGTAAGACTGTGAATGAGTGTAAGTAAGTAAGTAAGTAAGTAAGTAAGTAAGTAAGTAAGTCAGTCAGTCAGTCAGTCAGTAAGTAAGTCAGTAAGTAAGTCAGTAAGTAAGTCAGTCAGTAAGTAAGTCAGTCAGTAAGTAAGTCAGTCAGTAAGTAAGTCAGTCAGTAAGTCAGTAAGTAAGTCAGTAAGTAAGAAAGAAAGAAAGAGAAAGCAAGAAAGAGAAAGAGAAAGAAAGAGAAAGAAAGAAAGAGAAAGAAAGAAAGAGAAAGAAAGAGAAAGAAAGAAAGAGAAAGAAAGAGAAAGAAAGAAAGAGAAAGAAAGAAAGAAAGAAAGAAAGAAAGAAAGAAAGAAAGAAAGAAACTAAGTAAGTAAGTAAGTAAGTAAGTAAGTAAGTAAGTAAGTAAGTAAGGGGGTGAGGATAGGACAAGGGAGAGGAAGGAAAGATCGCGCGCGGTTCGTGGTCCGTTAGTTAGGGTCCTGCTCCGGCATTTGCATGGTGTTGATCGGAGAAACCACGGAAAACTACCTGTAAGATATCCAGGTCTACCCGGCTGCTAGAAGCCTCCTCCAGACAGCGTCTGAATTCGACCTCGATGACAAGCTTGTGTCGAAAATCCTGCCCCCGTCGGGACTCAAACCTAGGACATCCCGGTCAAAGGCATTGCAGTGATATCATTTTATTCCCCTGAGCCACCTTTCCGCGTAGAAACGTTCGGAGCGTATCATTTGACCCAATATCGACCGAACGATTCATACTTAGGAGGATCATTTCTGATTGTTTGGTTATTTCGTCATTTCGTCAAAGAATAGGAAGGAAAAATCGTGCGCGGTCCGTAGACCGATTGTTAGGGTACTGTTCCACTATTCGACGGATGTTGATCACAGAAACGACGGAAAACTACCAATCAAAGCAGGCGGCCGCTGGAATTCTCTTCCACACAACGATTGAACTCGACCTATCTAGCTAGCTAGTGTCGGGACTCGCACCCCGAACCTCCCGGTCAGAGGCCCTGCAGTGACATCAGTTGATGCCCTGTGTTGCCTTAGCCGACGGATCATTTGCGTAGTGTATTCTCGCCTACTCATGGACATAAATACATACGAGGTACATTCCGTATTACTAGTAGAAATAAAATTAGAACACAAAATGGTACCAACCCCGGAACGAAAAAATACGTGGTATGTCCTGTCGATTAAATTTGTTTATATACGGACAAATCGACATAAAATTGGAATCTCGAATAAAATATTGTACACTACACCTCAAAAGTGACTTTCCATGGCACGTCGGGATACGTAGATTCGGCCTAATAGGCCCATCCGTGATCTCTCCCGTCTGCTGATGGAAAAGTCCACTTTCTTGCTTTGTAATGTGAATTACTATTATCTGGGACGAACTGTAGCGAACTGATTATTTTCACATTTTCCATTTCCACGAATCAAGACTGTTTTCTCCACGCGAGACTTGCATTCGTTGCATACAACGGCCGCCTTTGTGTCGATTGCGACGTGTGATGCTTTGTTGCTCATCGCTTGTACCGTTCACCACGTATACAGCAGAGATTATAGATCTCAGAGAAACGTTCACACATTGCAGGTTCATTCCACTTGCAAAACAGTCAACTTTCTTTAGTTCTTTTTGTGACGTTAAAATCTTTTAGCTGCTGCTGATGATAATCATCACTAAAGATGTTTGGGGTGTAATGGTGGTAGTGGTGTGGTGGTGGTGATGAGTGAAATGGTGGCCTTATTGCTCTAATTTCACAATTTTTCCAAAAAGTAAATATATACTATTTATGTTTGTAATACTTGTTTGTTTACTTCTCTGTGATTAATGTTATAAAATAATTAAGTAATGATATAAAAAGTACAATGAATGTAACTTTTCAAAAAATAAAACGTTTTCAAATGTTTTCATTTAGTATTTTTAAAACATCAATTTCAAAATCGTATAAATAGTATACTCGCGTAGAATGGCTATTATTCACTTGTAGAAATTCCGACTCTCGCTCATACGTCGCTCGTGTTGTAAACATCAACTCGTGGATATTGGCTATCATTCTACGCTTGTTGATGAATATTTCTATTACGAACTGTTCCAGTTCCTAGAATTGTTCACGTCTTCTTGTAAGTATTCCCATGTTTCTTCTCCTGCTTCTCATTTAATTCAAAACTCTTCTGTTTATTCTTTCATCGGGAATTCCAAAGATATATTTTTTATTCAACACTGTTTATTAATAATATTTTACACGTATAGTTTATAATTCTTTTCTAATTTAGTCACTTCTAATACGGTTAAGATATGCGTGTCCAGCTACTATTCTAGGAAATTTCATTTCTTACTTGGTGACATTTGACATTCAGAATTTTCATTCCTCATTTGACATTCAGAATTTACTTCCTTATAGCAAGGTGGTAAGAACACTGTTTTATACAGCTTAATTGTGTTTTCCGTGAGAGTATTTTTCGGTGAATATGCTATAATATCGCAAAAATACCCGGTATCCAATAGTTCATTTAACTGTTCTGTGTTCAGAATATACTGCTGTCACTACGGCCTCCCCCACTGTTGGTTCACATTAAGACAATTTAAAAGAAATTATTATAACCTTTTGTACTTAGGAATTCATGAATACTTATTTCGTATTAAAATTCATTAAATTAATATGATAATCCATTCAAGTTGTTTTCTTAATTTTGCATTAATGTATTCAATTTTTAGGAATTATTACACACTTTAAAAACGTGAAATCAATCTAATTAGGAATTTATGAGTATTACACCAACGCACATACTAAACCCTTCAGAGAAATTTAGTGAAGAGCAATT